ATTTGCAGTCAGGCGTATTTCAGAATTACTGACGTTTTCCACACCTAGATACCATTGCTATGAGTGTCATTTGGGGTGTAAGTCATGTCTGCCTGTGACATTTTGTTTGGACGAATCTCTTAAAAGAGGAAAAATAATCGTGACTCTATTTCACCGGCAGAGATAAAAGGCTCACGTCCCGCTATCAGGTATTCCTGACACTGTGTGAGCTGCCCTTTCACAAACAAAGCCACGGCCACATGGGAAGGGATCTTGGTAGACAGACTTCCTGCTATTTTGCTTGTCTTTCTCTTTCTCAGACTTCACGATTCTGGTTGATGAACCTGGATTTCCTTTTATTTTTATTATCTTTAATGTAGATTTTATGTATAAACAGTGTAGGCCTTTATATATATATAGACATATATATATATAACATAATCTGAAAATTACTTAGCCTATTCTGGACTCTTCCAGACAATATAGAAATGGTATTTGTAGTTTTAGATGTCTCTTTTTTCTATAATGGTTTGTGGAAGTTTAGGTAAGATATACCTTTGATAAGTTACTGAAAATATCAGAAAGAAAATGTGTTACGTTTCTTCAAGTTGGAAGAGTTAATAGAAGTTGTAGCTTATTCTGAAAACACGATTAACATCACCAGTATCTTAAACTATTTAGTTCATATTCACGTGCTCTAAGATGGATATTAGCATACCTAAACGTTTGCTTAAATATTTCTCTTCTAGATTTTAGAATTGGTATGAACTTATGTGGAATGTTATTATGCAATAAAGCAGTAATTTTAGTATTAGAATACAAAATGTTTAAGTCATAGCCTCAGATATATCTTATCTGAAATACTAAAGCTTCTCTATAACTCCATTAAGAAAATAATAGACTATTTATGTGTTTTATTAAATGTTTCATTTGCAACTTAAGAGTTGTTTTGTTTCCTGGTACAAAGACTGTTTTATTGGTAAAAGATGTCAAACCATGGTTATAATAAATTGTTCCCACATGGAACAATATTTTTGGTGGACTTTTTTTTTTAATAACTAATAACTGTTAGTTACAGTTTTTCACAATATATCTGGCTTTGAATTTTCTATGTTCTGTATACTTCAGTGCCAACATGAAAAATATCACTTTTCTCAAACATTTATATCCTTGAAATTTTACTCTTTCAGGTCTAGCAATAATAGTTCAGATCTTTTATACTCTAGCTGTAATTAAAATTATAAATTTGAATATCGCAGTAAAGGCTATTGATTTAAATATGTTAAATTGGAGTTAAGTTGTATATATTTCTTAGCAAATACGTATACGTGTGTGTGTGTATGTATATATACATATATATGTCCCATTTGCATTAGTAGGAGTTGTTTACCTAATTTTTCTCTACAAGGTCCTTTGGAATACTTCCTAAGATCAAGTGATGTACATGTTTTGATCTGAATTTCAGTGTAAGACATTCATCGTTCCTTTGCATAAGAGTGACTTATTTTTAGAAAAGTTAAACATAAAATTATTCTAAGTATAAGACAATTTATTCATTAAATGCTAGTTTTCCTTTATTTATTTATTTATTTATTTTGCTTTTTTGGGTCACACCGGTGATGCTCAGGGGTTCCTCCTGGCTCTGCACTCAGGAATTACTCCTGGCGGTGCTCAGGGGACCATATGGGATGCTGGGATTCGAACCCAGGCTGGCTGCGTGCAAGGCAAACGCCCTACCCGCTGTGCTATCGCTCCAGCCCCAATGCTAGTTTTCTTTTAAAAACTACCTGGGTTTTACTTTCATTGGCATTTTTTGAAAAACCTTTTTTTTTTCCTTTTTTTTTAACAGAAAGCTACAGTTCCTCATTCGTCGCGTCGGGTTTAGTAATACGAGAACCATCATGTTAGCGACTGCCATGGTTTTGCGGCTGCATGGTTTTATTTATGATGGTTTCTAGGCGAGCCATTTTGTAGTTGAGAGTTTTGTGATCGGCCTGTTGGTTAAATTTGGTTCTGTCGTCACTGCTTGATAGGTAGAGAATTAAGGCAAAGCTTTTGTTTTTATTGGTTCATTTAGTAAATTTTTGAGGACTGCGATAGTTAATATGGATAAAATCAAAGTTAAACTTAAGAAAACCAGGAGAATGTTTCAAAGGGAAGAATGTGTAAAGGAGAGAGTATCTGAAATACCTCTTTGTACAAAGAAAAGGATATTAGTATCTTTTTTCCTCTTTTTAAAATTTTTTTTATTTTATTGAATCACTGTGAGATATAGTAACAAGCTTTCATGTTTGAGTTACAATCACTCAATGATCAAACCCCCATCCCTCCACCAGTGCACATTCCCCACCGCCAATATCCCCAGTATTATAACCCCCCATTCCCACCCTCCCCCTGCCTCCGTGGCAGACATGATTCCCCATAATCTCTCTCTACTTTGGGGCATTATGGTTTGCAATACAGATACTGAGAAGTTATCATGCCTGCTTCTTTATCTACTTTTTTTTTTTTTTTTTTTGCTTTTGGGGTATAAGGTCTTTGCTTTTTTGCAGTGTAATTCACTTGCCCAGAGTCACGCATTTGATTTTAGACGCAGACCCTACATTTTCTTTATTTTTCTGAATGAGAATAAACTTACGTGTCACTAAGATGAAAACCCTGCTTTGTTAAGCGGTCTCCCTGGTCCAAAGGTGTGTTTCCTAGATAATAGGCCTGAGGGTATATATTATTACTGCTAGGCATCTGTGGATATATGGGCCTCTTTTTCCATTTTCTTTTGGGGGAAACCCCTCCCCCGTGGGTTCCCAGCTAGCCCGGCTGGTGGTTCAGTGCCCTGACTGGGGTGCTCTGCGTGCCAGGCCTGGATGGTGCCCAGACGGTTGCATCATGCTTGGAATCTGACCAGGGCTGGGCACGTGCCAGCCCTGTGTCCTGACCGATGCACGAGACCCTGGCCTATCGAGTTGTTAAGGTGGCTTAGTAGATTTGATAAATAACGTCCAGTAACTCAAATTTAGAAATTTAAGTTTCCTGCCTGTGTTTGCCCTGAAAATTATGACTGACTTAATCTTTATAAATTTAATTATTTCAAATGATTTTAAAAAAAAGAATAAAAATTGTAGACTTTGGGGCTGGAGTAGTACAGTGGGGAGGGCGTTTGCCTTGCATATAGCCAAGCCGGGTTCGATTCCCAGCATCCCATATGGTCCCCCCGGCAGCGCCAGGAGTCATTCCTGAGTGCAGAGCCAGGAGGAACCCCTGAGCATCGCTGGGTGTGACCTAAAAAAGCAGAAGAAAAACAGAAAAAAGAAAGAAAATTGTAGACTTCATTGACAAGAGAATTCTGTCTTCAGTTTTTACTTCTTACTAGGAGTTTGATAAAATAAGTCATGATCCATACTCCTGAGCATAGAAAAAAAAATAGCCTTTTCCCCACCCTTGGTAATTTCACACTTTTGTGTAGACTATCCAGGAAGAAAGAACAAATGGACTATTTCGGTGGAGGAAGATATCATCGTGAATCTGATATTTGAAATGTCTCTGAAAGGGGTGGCAGGGATTCATCAAAGGAAGGCGAGAGGGTAGGGTGTTTCAGCCAGAGGAACGGAACGCACCGAGGCAGGGTATGAAGCGCTCTGTGGTAGTGTCTCCGAGCCGTGAGGAGTGAGTGATTTATCTGTAGGCCACAGGTGTTACTGGGCAGAGCGAGAAGCAGGAAAAGGTCTGGAGGGGCAGCTTGGCTTCAGAATCAGCATCCCGGGCGGCACCAGGGGACGGGAGTTTGTCCCCATGGAAGGCAGCACTGTGGGGGAGGGCCCTGACAGTCAGGATGAGCCAGGGGGTTGGGGTGGGCTCCTGGGTGTGGCGCAGAGCCCACCTGCCCTCCCGACCTCAGCCAGCCCCTTACACTGGTCAGCCCTGTCCTTCCAGTGAGCTGGTCGTTCTCATGAGCTTGATACGCCCGTGTTTCGGGGCATTTATGCCGTGATCTGTTACGAAAGGACAGGCTGTTTGGCAAAGTAAAGATGATTATGATTCAGTGTTGTTTCCATTGCGTGCTGAAGCTTTGGATGTCAGTTAATTTGACTCTCAGACTAGAGTTTACTGTGGAGTCACACTGACTTTAACTGGTTTACAGTGAAAAGAAAAGATCTTCTATGCAACTTTAAAAAGGTATTACAAGTCTTTTTTTTTTCTTTTTTGTCCACTGGGGTTTTAAGGACAAGCATTATATAGATTATAATATAATATTGTATGTATGTGAAGCGACTGCGTCACACTTTGTCAGAATTTAAGGAATAGAGTAGAAGTCTGAATAGCACAGTCTGTAAAAGCCTAAGTCTGTATACCAGGAACCAGTACTCGAACCAGGACTAAGTCCTCGGGAGGAGGACAGTTTGCTTTGGAGTTGCAGCACGGGCAGATGGCGGAGTTCAGCGAGCACTAACAGACACAGCTGTTGGTCTGCTCTCTCCCAAGCCTGCGTGTCACCCAACTCTGCGAGCACTCCCTAGGGAGCCCTCTGGTTCGTGTAGGGTATACGATCTCAAGGGTGTATGGTTAGGAGGCCGGATCCTCCCGACAAAGCTTTGTTGCATAAATGACAAGTTCCTGTTTAAGCCCTTAACGTTTAAGCAAGTCGCCACTTGCCCTTGATGTTTTTACTGAAAAGGGGAGTGGAAGGTGAAGATTTTTTTCCTGTCCAGCCTTGCGGGTCCCGTCCTTACCACCTAGGCGGTATCACAAGGCAGCGTTGTGACAGGCTTCTTACCATACTTGTCATTTTAGCCGTCTTGAGTGTGACGAAAAGTAGATCGATGTTTTGAAACCATTTACACTGTCATTGATAAAAACACTATTTAATCGCTGTTACACTTCATAAATATGATTGATATTAAGTCAATTTTTATGTTGTATCGTAAACTTGGTAGCCTTGCTATTTCTAAGAACTGGATTATATGAATTTTCAAGTTTGATCTTTTTTTGTAAATAAATGAAAAAATACTTGTTTTTCAATGCAGATTTGAGTTCTGTGAACCTGCATTTGTGGTTGGCAATTGCCTCCAGATAGCATCAGATAGCCATCAATATGATCGCATTTATTGTGGAGCGGGAGTTCAGAAAGATCATGAAAACTACATGAAAATACTGCTAAAAGTTGGTGGCATTCTAGTCATGCCCATAGAAGATCAGGTAATGTCTGCTCAGTGTCTTCCCGTGTGCCCTGGGATGCGTTGGTCGCGACGGGACACGTGGGACCTGCCACTCCCGAGTGTCAGGGAACGTCCCGGGGACCTACTGAGGGGACTGTGGGACACGTGGCACTCCCCACTCTGGAGTATCAGAGATATTCCCAGGGACCTACTGAGGGGAATGGGACATGTGGCTCCCGCATTTCCGAGTGTCAGGGCTATCCTCCGGAGATCTGTTTACCAAGAAAAACTTGACATGCACTTAAAAAAAAAATTGCTGTTCGTTTCAGTTGACAACGGTGAGCAGTGCAGGTTAGAACGTCCCTGTCTGCCCTGTGGTCGCGACAGCCGGTCTCCCGTGGCAGGCTGCTCTCGGCGTTGGGCCACGTGTTGCAGTGGCACCCCTGTGCTTCCAGGGCCCAGGTCCTGCCCTGCCAGAGAGCCCAAGACCTTCCCCGCCTCCACCCCCAGCTTCCTTCCCGTCCACCCCCTCCCCTGCCCGCCCCTGCCCTTGACCTGGTTCCCAGGTTGCAATCCTGACCCAGGGTGTCACTTTCACCGTTTTTCTTGGAGCATATTTTGCAGGGCCGTGGTGTGTCTGAGTGGCTGGCATGGGTGTCCTGCCCACCCTGACTCTCCCGTCCCAAGCACCTCTGCCCAGCACTGGCCATCGGCAGGTCTCGGGGCAGACTGCCCCCTCCCTGCTCTCTTCCCTGGTGACCCCAACACCTCCCCCTTATGTGCCATTTCCCCTCCCCGCCCCAGACAGAATCCCAGTACCCAAGGTTGGCGTCAGTCGGGACGGTCGGGGTCCCCCCATTGGTCTCTGTACCACACAAGTGTGTGAGGTGGCCACCGCCCGCAGCCTCAGACCCTCCCCTCCGAGCAAACTGCAGGGCAACTTTTGGGATTGATTGCAAAGTGTAGTACATTCCCTTGCGTTCTACAACGTCCTTTTCCCCCTTTAATTTAATTTTTAAAATTAATTAGAGACCAGAGGAATAGTACAGCGGGTGAGGTGTTGGCCTGGCACATGGCCAACCCGCCCACATGGTCCCCTGGGCTCTCCAGGAGGAAATTCTGGGTGCAGAGCAGGGCCAACCTCAGCACCGCTTTTTGTGGTCCCCAAGACCACAAAATTGATTTTTCTTCAGCTTATGATTTGCGAAGTTGTTCAGGCTCACAGTGCCCTGACATCAGCCCCACCCCTGGCCTCACCCACCGCCCGCCACCAGTCTCCCTCCCACCTCCGAGCCTGTTTTCTCGGCAAACACCCGACGCACTGACTTCCGGTTGCTTGCTCCAACAAAATGGCAGATGGAATTAGATGAAATAAATGAGTAAAAGTCATATGTGACCGTTCATTTCTGTATGACTTTGACTTGTGTAAATAGGAAATTCAGATCATCTCACGCAATGTAATCATTTAACACGACTACTTACGTTCATTGACATAGCTCAAGTTTTCACATGGGCATCTAAAATATACTGCGTTACATTTCATTTCATACTTGGGCCTCGTGGGTACCACAACTTGTTCATCTTGCTCATCTGCAGGGTATTTGCATTGCTTCTACAGCCCTGCTCTTGTCCTAAGAACTACAGTGAACAAAGGGATGCGTTTTACTTTGTGTAGTTTTCAGTTGTTAGAAAGACACAATATGGGCCGGAGATGTGCAGTGTGCAAGGTGATTGCCTTTCACGTGGCTGACGTTGGTTTGATTCATGCCACGACAGATGCTTCCTTGAGCGAGAAGTAGGCCCTGAGCATTGCTGGGTATGGCCCAAGGATTTTTAAAATACAAGTTAAAAGATGTAGTAGAGAGTTGATTAGCAAAGTGTTTACTTGGCACCCGCGAGGTAACTGGTAAAGTATATATTTATAAGTATATATTAAATACCATATTAAATATATTAAGATATATAAGTATATATTATAAACTATATACCTAACACCAATGAGGCCCAATTTTAATCCCTGACACCACCGGGGGGCGGGGGGAGAAAATCGACATACTAGGAAAACTTCCATTAAAAGATGTTCTTGGAGAAATATTACTTCCAGAGCCGAAGTTCCCAAATAAAAATGTTCTTCGGTTTTTCTTTGATACATTTCCCCATCAATTAAAATACGAGTTTACTAAGTGTTATATGCCATTATAGTAGTGTAAATTGTGGTAATGGCCTCATTTTTATAAAGTGAACTGAAGATACTAATTCAGCGTGAATCATGGTTTTTTGGTTGTTGTTGTGTGGGTACAACTTCTGGTTGATACCTTTATTAGGAATCCCATTAGCATTAGAACTTATGTTTTTATACCCTTCTGATATCCTATGGCAGATCATGAGTTGTAGATCTAGTATTGTAGTCAAAACACGTTTTTATGACTGTCCAGCTTTGACTGAACGATGGGGCATGAGTTGGGTGTGTATTTTGGGAGGTGTGGCAGGAATGGTTTGGAATTCCACATCGAGAAGCCGTTCAGGACATGAGTCACCTGGCCACTTTGGTCTGGTGTTTCCTTTGGATGGAAACGATTTGGGGGAGTGGCTTTTTATTTCCGTGACTTGGTTGTCAAACAGCAGGTACTTGTAGTTCCCTCTACGTTGTTTCCTAACAAACATTTCACTGAATGAATCTGGTTGTGTTAAAATACCAGTCCTTTTTTTTTTTTAAGCAGTTATTGACAGTTACCTTGTCAAAATTTGCAACTCTAACGGGACGACATAGCCATCATTAAACTGGCCCTTGTCTTTTTCCATCTCGATAGTTAACACAAATCATGCGAACTGGCCAGAACACCTGGGAGAGTAAGAACATCCTGGCGGTGTCCTTTGCGCCGCTGGTGCAGCCCAGCAAGAACGACAACGGCAAGCCGGATTCCGTGGGGCTCCGTAAGTAACCGCTGGCTTCCCCCCTTGGGAATCACGCTGCTGAGCTCTCTGCTGGGGATCGGAAGTGCCAGAGAAGGATCGTTCAGTCCTTCTGATATGCCCAATATGCCCAACGGTCATTCAGCTTGTGGGTAGGGCGTTTGCCTTGCATGCGGCTGACCCGGGTTTGATTCCTAGCACCCCATATGGTCCCCTGAGCACCGCCAGGAGTAACCCCTGTGCATCGCCAGGTGTGACCCAAAAAGCAAAAAAAATAAATAAAAATAAAGGAAAAAAAGTTAGTTCCTTCCTTAGAGTTGGGAAGAAGTCGAGTCGACACACCGTTAGTTCGTTAGAGTTGGGGATCCCGCTAACTCCACTGTCAGCCTTTTCCATGCCGAGGAACAAACCACAGAGCTAGAAAATCATCTTCTTTAAGAGCTCGAAAGAGCGGAGATGTGTGTTGGAATCTGTGCTAGCTCCCTCTGTCCTCTCGAGAGCTTCTGTTTCCTACCGAGGCCACAGGACTCCTTTGCTGTGGAACTCCTGGGTTCTCTGAGCCAGCTGGATTTGTTGGTTTCTGTTAACATCATGGCTTTCCTGTTCAGAGTCAGCTGTTCACATGTTGCCTTCAAAATGGTTTAAAAAAAAAAAAATCAAAAAGTAAAGTTTCTTTCCTGTTCCTGTCCCTAATCATTGTTCTGTGTTCAGTTCATAAGTCCTTCCTTATCATTCCAAAGATTTTTGTCTTTCCATACTCGGGATCACATACACGTGTAGCGTATGCACGACACACAGACGTTTGCACGTAGGAACCTCTGCTGTCTCCGTGGTCCTCAGTGCTTGGACAGGTGGCTGGTATCTAGTGACTACTTTAAATCCCTTATTGGATGAAGGTCAGAGTTGGTGCTAGGGCTGGAGGGATGGCAGAGGGGGGAAGGCACTTGCTTTGCACACAGCCAGTCCAGGTACAGTGCCCGGCCCAGGGTCACTGTCACTGTCACTCTCTTCCCATTGTTCATCGATTTGCTCGAGCGGGCCCAGTAACATTGTGAGACTTGTTGTTACTGTGTTTGGCATATTGAATACGTCACGGGGAGCTTGCCAGGCTTTGCCGTGCAGGCGAGATACTCTCGGTAGCTTGCCGGGCTCGCCGAGAGGGAAGGAGAAATGGAACCCAGGTCCGTCGGGTCGGCCACATGCAAGGCAAACGCCCTACCCACTGTGCTATCGCCCCGGCCCAGGGTATTGAGCACAAAATCAGGAGTAAGCCAAGCCCTGACTCAGCACCCCCAGGTGAGGCCCCAGAACGAAACGAAGCAAGTCCTAGAGTTTTTCTACCTGCGATGTCTTAAGCGTTCGCGAAGAAATGCATGCGTTGTCGCGTGAAGCGGCCGGTACGGGGCGGGGGCTTCCCTTGCCGTGCTTGACGCCTGCGCTGCCGGTGTCTCGGTGTCTTGCAGCCCCCTGCGCGGTGAGGAACCTCCAGGACCTGGCCCGCATCTACATCCGACGCACCCTGAGGAATTTCATCAACGACGAGATGCAGGCCAGAGGGATCCCCCAGCGGGCCCCGCCGAAGAGGAAGAGGAAGAGAGTGAAGCAGAGGATCAACACGTACGTGTTTGTGGGGAACCAGCTCATTCCTCAGCCCCTGGACAGCGAGGAGGAGGAGAGGATGGAAGAAGACGGCAAGGAAGAGGAGGACCGGGATCAGGGCGAGGCCATGAAGTCCGAGGAGCCGCCGCAGAATTTACTGAGGGAGAAGATCATGAAGCTGCCCCTCCCCGAGTCTTTGAAAGCTTACTTGACCTATTTTAGAGAAAAGTAACGCGTAGGACAGAGAGAGTATCTACTGATGATTCCTTTAGTCTTGAAAAATGTAGCATTCGTTAGCCGTCCAAAAAGAGAATTTTCTTTTCTTTTCTTCTTTCATCAGAGCAGATGATAGTGGAACACCTAGAACTCGTTTCTGTCTTAGTGATGCAAGATTCTGTCTTTAGCGATCGGAAGAATCCCTTTTATAAAATCTATTTTTCTTTAAATCTTGAAAAACTTTTAACTCCGTGACTTCAGGAGTGGAACGCAAGTCAAGACTCTCTGTACTGTGAGTCCTTTTCTGATTCCTTGCAGGTCTGCAGTGGTGAGGGTGAGAGTGAATTTTTCTATGAGGCTACGTGATTGGTGTGCTTCTGTAGGCAGATTTAAATCGCCATTGTTTGCATTTTCCTCTCTGACGACTTTTTATCTCCGAAGGGAATCAGATGCTTCGTCCCTGGGTCACATCCCTGTTGCCGAGTTGCGAGATGAGTGCAATAACAACACAGATAATTTAGCTTTAAAACAGGTTTTAAAGTCCCACAGCACCGCTCCTTTTGCTTTTGAATATATTGCCAAAAGACCCGGGGAGGTGCGGGGGGCGGGGGGGGGGGTAAGGGGGTGGGTTGGGGGGGATACCTGCTTCTCTCATCAGATCCCGAGAGCACATCAAGTGAATATTCAAGTGAGTCCAACAGAGCCTGGTGTTCGCGGGCCCCTTTCCACTTGCAGTATTCAGACTTGGTGAGGCTCTCTGGGCTCTCGAGGCCGGAGGAGGTGGCGCGGGGTAGAATTGCCTTCCCGCCTGTCGCCTGGGTCAGGGACTCGCTTGAGAAGAAGCCACTGCTGTCACTTGGCTGTACAGACGAGAGAGAGAGGGGGAAGCCGGGGTGGCGGTCGTCCCCCCCCACATCCCCCCCCAGCGACTAAGGGGCTGGGGTGGAGGGGGGACTGCTGGCAGGTGCACTTTACAGATGGAACTTCCCGTCCATCTGACTGTTTATCCCTTAACGAGGCAGGACGCCCGGGCCGACGCTCGCTCGCGCTGAAACCCGTCCCGGTAGCGTTCAGAAACGTCCGCAGGAGTCCTATGGAAACAAACGCCTCTCGGAAAATCCTGTTCAGGATCACAGTGTAAACTCGGGGACCCACGTTGCGACCATTTCTCCACGATCATGCTGTTTTCCATCTCTTCCAAGTGAAAGTCTTGATTTTTCCTTTTCTGCTGCGTATTCACACGCTTCAGCACGGCATCCTTTGGATGTTCGATGCAGCTTGTTCATGATGGAGCCCGTGGCCAGCGCCATGGTTCGTTCTTCCTGCAAGGGCCCGCCAACGGTCGTTCCTGGTGAAGTATGCGGCGTCCCCACACTCGTTGGTGTCACATGGATTATTTATGTTTCAGAAGGAAGAAGTTGAGAGTCTCACGTATGACCACCAGCATCACGATCATAGTAGTTGATGACGATAGGCTTAAGGAAACCCAGTGTGCACGGTGAAGAGAGATCTCTCTGCTAAGAGTCAGCTGCTGCTAATATATATACGGTTTTAAAAATCTCAGCGCTCGTAATTGCACACACCTTAAAATAAGTGTTTGAATTTATTCTAGTCATGAATTATTCCAAGTCAAGGAGGATATTTTTAGTAGAATGCAAGATTATTTTATTGAAGGTATTTATTTTAAACTAGTATCTTGGGCTAAAGGTTTGGGGGATCTCTGTTTCGTCACTAAGCAATGCCCGGTCTCACTTCTCTCGAGGACAAAGTTTGATACAATCGTGTTTTGTTTTGAATTAAATATTCATTTGAGAAAACTAGGAAAGGTCCTAGTCCCTCCACCCACCCACAGGTCTGCCACTCACTTCTTTGTTACAACTGGTGTCCAGATTTATAAACATGTATATTCTTAAAAGATCTTACCATTGATAAGAGTGTTATTTGAAGATTGACTCTCCTATCATTTTTCATTCTTTTGATCTTAGGAAAGCATCTAGTAGGTTTTCATGAGTAGTGCATATATGTTGTCATTGAAAGCATATTTGTTTTTAAGATACATTTTACAGTTACTGCTGTTATTGACTTTAACTAGAAATGAAATATGAAAATTCAAAAGAAATCCCTTTCATCTTCTAATGGGGATATATTGTAATATTTGGGGGTTTTGTTTATTTTATAATGAATTTATGTTTACTTTCAGATAATTATGCATTAGAGGTGGAGAAGTAGCAAATAAAGATGAGGTAAAATTGTGGAAAAGTGATGAGGAATATATTCATGGTATTTTAAAGTCAGATGAAACAATATAAATAATTTATTCTTGTCTTATTTTATAGAGAGAAAGTAGACCTAGAGAGGTAAGATGATTTTCTTGAGTCAGACAGTTAGTTGAAATCATCTCAAAATAGTATCTAGCGTCTGATATATCCCAAGAAACTGTCAACGGCACCACAGATATTTTAAAAAGCAATTTAAATTTATATTGCTTATTGGTTGGTATAAGAGGCTGTAGTAGTAATAGAGGAAAAAATGTCTAAAACATTTAGCATATTTAGTGGATAAAATGAAACTAAAATTGTAAGTGTTGGTTTCTAGCTGTTTGAGAGGATGAAAATGAAGCAAAACTTGTTAAATTATGGAAAGACTTGGAAAACTATTTTAAATAAACAGTTGCATATAATTAAGCACCTTTCTCCAATGGCCTGGATTTTTTTGAGTACCTCAATATACCCATGTGCATGTGCTGTCATGGTGTCCAAAGTGTGGGATAATTGTATTGCATGGAATTTGCATTTTGCAGCATTTTCTGTAAAAACTCAACCAGCTTATATGCCTGTTGGTTTTCTGCTCTCCAGGTCCTCCCCAGCCTTTATTGCTCGTCATTCCCTCCTCCCCTGGCCTCTTCTCTCTTGCTTTTGTGTTGTCCTGGGGTTGCACACACATGGTTGCACTGGGTGGGGAGGGACGGAGGGGGGTTTTCAAGCACTGTTTGTAGAGTCTACTCCGGCACCGGCTTCTCCAAAGGCGCTGAGATCACACGATGGAGTGGAAGGTGCCGGTGGTCAGTCTTGCAGCCTCCCCAGCCTCGTGCCTCAGTGGCTCTGTCGCGAAGCTTGTGCCGGAGCTCTTATTTCTTGTTTGTTCATTTAGTTTGCTTTTTGGGTCTCACCCGGTGATGCTCAGGGGTTCCTCCTGGCTCTGCACTCAGGAATGACTCCTGGTGGTGCTCAGGGGACCCTATGGGATGCTGGGGATCGAACCTGTGTTGGCCAGGGCAAGGCAAACACGCCCTCCTTGGCGGTGCTATCACTCCAGCCCCAGAAGCTCTTACTTCTTGACTTTTTGTCAGTACTCGTTCTAACAGCTGATGAGGAATATTTCAGTTTGGTTTGCATTTCCCTCTTAGTAACTGCACATCTTCCTCTATGCTTGTCGGTCATTTGTGATTGCTCCAGAGAAACGGACATTCAGGTTCTTTTGCCCATTTCTTAATTGGGTTGTTTAACTGTTACATTATGTGAGTTCTTCCTAAAGGTTGAGTATTAAGTTTCTTGATGGTGTCGTTTGCAAATATCTTCTGCCCTCTCGTTGGATGCTGTTTTGTTCTGATACAAGATTCTTTGTGTGTGTGGTGGATCATCTGTACATTACTGGAGTAAATCCTACTACATGATGGTGTTGATTTTGGTTTGCTGGTGTTTTGTTGAGAAATTTTGCATTTATGTTTAGAAATTTGGATTCGTGGTTTAGGTTTTGTTGATATTTATGTTTGATTTTCAAATCAGGGTAATGTTTTCATAAAATATTTTAAAGTTTCTCTCCTTTAAAATTTTTTGGGGGGAGAGTGAGTATTAGAGATTTTAATTCTTTGATATTTGGGGGAGAATTCAGCAGTGAAATTCTCGGGTCCTGGGTTTTTGTTTCTAGAGAGATGTTTTAATACTGTTTCAGTTTCCTTCTTGGTAATGGTTTGCGGAGATTTTCTCTCTCTTTCCGACTCGGTCTAGGATGTTTATCCTTTTTTTTTTCCCTTTTCTTCCAGTTTGGTTTCATAAAGATGTTTAAAATATTCTGGTGGAGTAAAATAGTTTGTTTTTTAAAATTTGCATAGAGAAATGTGAAGGTAGAGAAAGATGAAGAGAGGAAGAGAGCATGGGCTTCTCCAGAGGGAAAGAAGGTGAGAACACCTTGTGCTGGAGACATGCTGGAGTCTGGCTGGAAAGCGAGACTGGCCTTTACGGAGCTGGTTTCATAACTGGGCTCTTCCCGACCTGCCTTGGCCTGGAGCATCCGGGAAAGTTAATCTGGGTGTTGTCAACAGGGAAAAGGCTTGCACTGTTGATGATTCTTTTCTGTTCTCCTTAGGATTCTTCTGTAGCTTCTTTCCGAGGAGTTCCGCCCCTCTCTGGGTGTTCCCTTAGTTTGTGCATCCCCAAACGTTCTGGAAGTTGTGCTTTGTGCCTTCAGGCTGCTTCAGGGCTATTCAATTACTTCTTTGTTTTATTATCTGGCGTCATCTATCTGCCTGTAACATTCTTTCCTAGGCTTGTCAGCCTAAATGTCCAAGAGGTTCGTGGGCACAGCTGTAGCTCCTTCCTGCTGGCCGTGGGCGTGGGTCTGCCTGTGAAGGGAGCGAGATCTCTTGCTAAACTAGTAGTCATGAAGCCCAGACAATGGTTTGTTGGGTTTCAAACTTGTCTACCTGGGGGAAAAAAAATCAAAGTAGATAACACTTTTTAAAAAGTAGGCCTTGGGGAGGTGGAGAGGGGAGCTATCTCTGACCCAGGGAGGCAGAGTGTTTAAGGAGAAGAAAATACTGGCCATCGCATAAGCTTTTGTTCCTTTCTTTGCCATCTGGTGAGCTTGCTGGAAAAGCGTTAGCTCCTATTTTTATTAGCCTTCTGTGAAAAGACACAGCCAGATAAAGTAGGCGTGTTACTTAACTTCTAGGAAAAAAAAAGAGTAAAGTTAGTTTTTCTTAAAAAGAAGTTTCAAGTCCTTGGTGGGGTCACAGGAGTAGGCCAACCCTGGAAAGACTGACCCAGCTAGAAATTCTATTGGTCTCATAGCACTGGGGTCTCGTAGAATAACTCGATAAGGTCACTTGCACTCAGGCAGCAGTTGATTTGAAGGGGATTTCGTTCTCCAGGTTCTCAGTAAGACCCAAATACCAGGCTGAATTTTAGTTGGAGATAATCCTCCTTTGGGGTGCAACAAATCAATCGAATTCCCTCCTGTACCTGTCTAATAACAAACGTCGTTAACTCCAGACGTTCTGAGTCCAGTGAAGGCTTGAGTTGAAGTTTGGCCGTGGGAACTCTTCTGAACCAAGAAGAACTGCAGCCGAGAATCGAGACAGGTTGATTGACACGGTTGTCCTGATCATCTCTTGAACGCCTAGTTGTGTTTCTTCGTCTTTCCTGATGGTCGGGGGCGCCAGGCTGTGTGGAGTTGGTGATCTTTTTAAGCAGGGACTGAATCCCCAGTGAGTTTAGACTTGAAAGACGTTCTGTTGTCATTCCTGTAGTGATTTGGGTAATAGAAATACCAGTTAGGCTCTTTAGAGATTTCTCTGACTTTCTCGAAACA